AAACAGCAAAGGCACTACCCCACGCAAGAGTGCTCAACTGCTACAAGAGCAGGAGCGAAATACTCAATCTGCGGACAGCATGCTGTTTCGTTCTTTTTGAACTCATCAGCGCAGCACAGAGAAAATGGGGCCGAACCTGATAGCAATGGAAATAAAAATTTCCAATCAGGCCCGAACGTACATACATACATACATACATACTTGTGCCTACCAGCATCATCTGTGTTCCCAGCACATGTGCATAGAAAACCAGCAGCTGATCTTAAAGTTAAGATTCTGCATGAGTACATGTACATGACATGGTAACAGGTAAGCAGCAAAGTGCGGTACACAGTACATAGTGGTACACAGGCCACCAGACAAGTAGGTAGAGTATAGTACTGAGCAGGACTGCGGAACCTACTGTCACGGCCACGCTCAGCAGCTAGCCATCTCTAGCCATCACCAAGTCTTGACGCTAATGATTCTCAGTACACTTCACACGTACATGGTTCAGTAGTTCTCGTGGAGTGTTGCTAGCATATTAGTTATTACCATGTACAGCCAGCTGCTGGTCAAGATCTACAATTCCTGTGATGGATATTGAATGATGGTTGTGCACCTGTGAGGTGTGCACACCCCTACAATCATGGAGGATGATCTGATCATGTACTGTAATAGTACCAGTAGTCTCTGAATGGCATGTGGTGGCCACTGAGCACGAGTTCACCAGTTCATGGTGACTGTACAGTACAGGAAGTTTCTTGCGATCATACAACAAACTTCTTTCTCCAGTGAAAAGCAGCACAGGTTCGCTTGCAGCATCAGGAAGTACAAGTTGTACAACCGGAACATGGCCTTCAGCATACTGCTCCCCCCCCCCCCCACCCAACAATCACAGAGTGCTGGACATGTATGAATGCACATTCCCAGACTGAGACAGCACCCATACTGCAAGTTAGTACATTTACAAGGAATACTGCATACACCAGCAAGTTGTTCAGTTCACAAAACACCCGTACAAGAGGCTCAAGGAGTTCATTCCTAAAACAGAAAGACAAAGAGAACACCACGCAATGCAACTGCCAGCAGGCACATCCCTTGGACTTGAGAGATGGCAAGTTATACACCTGGCAATCCTAAACGTTCTGGACACACAACAACACTACAAACACATGTACAGTAAAACCTGGTTTAGGCGACCACCCATCGGTGCAAGCAAAATCGGTCGTTAAAGCCAGGTGGTCTTCAGAACAAGGTCCCACGGTGTCTGTATAGAACTGTCGGTGCATGGAAAAACGGTCGTTAAGAGCAGGTGGTCGCTAAACCCAGAGGTCGTTTACACCAGGTTTTACTGTAGTACATAACCCCATTGGGGTGGGCGTTACGCACTCTTGGCACTACTTATAGGACTTTTTGGGATATAACATGATGTAGAGCAGACCTGCTCTTTCCTGATCAATCTGCATCATACCGAACTTTTTCCTATTGTATGGTCAATTGTGAAGTTCGATGATTGCAGAGTGGATCGGGAGAGCAGGTCTGATCTTCACCACTTAAACCTCTGTCTTTCAACATGTATGTATGAAGCTGCAGGAAGTGTCGCCACTAGTATTCGCACTGAGTCAAGTACATGTAGTCAGGAAAGATATCCACATTCGTGTGCAAGATACACACAGTACATGGTACATAGCAGTGTGTGCCAGACGATAATAATTATAGTTTAGTTAAGTCACTGGCACTAGCATACCACCAATGTCCAGTACCTGGCACCACTAGTATTGCCAGGAGCCATAGTATCATGTACATGTGCCATGCGAGGTTAGAATCATCTGCTCAACCATGCAGAGAGCCAACTCCATCACAGGCTTTGATAGCTGCTGACTGTCGACATAGCACAGGTTACATAGCTTGCAGCCAAAGCGGCTGGAGGACATGGCGACATTGTACCACCACCACCACCAACACCACTGAGACATTACATACATGTACATGTAGCTGTATCTGCTTGATGAATCTATTTCTTCGCACTCTAGTAAACAGCTTTGCAGTTTGTGTTTTTTGTGCCTACAATAGGGGTCATATGGTGCGGGGAATGCATAGCTTGTAAAACAATAGCATCATCATGGTATTGTCACCAAAGCAGAATCCTTCAAATATTGAATATTTTCACTGCTCGCATTACAGACTGTCAAATCAGCTTGTCCACACTCGCAATATACCGCCATTACAGTGACGGCGGAACACCGGACACACCATCGATGTTTAAACAAAATCACTAGCTAGCACTAGCCAGCACTAGCTTGCTGAATGATCTCGTGAGTCGAGTTTGCGCCCTGCACCTGTTCACATGCCAGTAATAATTCACCAAACTCGCGGCAACAACACCGCTCATGCAAAAGCAGCAGCTACAAGTCAGCACAGTGTCTGACCCTTATCAGCAGTAGTAAGCGCATTTACACCCCCCCCCCCCCCACCACACACACACGCACACATCCTCGAATGCAAGTTTGCACCCCCCCCCCCCCCCCACACACAAACACCATACCAGACACACAATAGCGTCAGTGCTACAGTCACACATGCAATGACAATAGCACACGCATAAGTGAGAAAGGATTAGCACAAGCCCGATCAGCAGTATTTTTTATACAAGTATGCTGGCTTTGAGCAGCAAAGCCAAGTTAGCCCACACATGTACGTGTTGGTCACGGGTTCGTCACGCGACACATGCGGTGAGACCAAAAAATTGAGATTCCCGGGCCCTCCCGCACGGAAATCGAGCAGAAGTCAATTTGTTTTCGAAACAGTTTGTATACATGATGTACTGTACTGATCGTGTGAGTAGATCTGTGACCGGGAGTCACACAAACCCAAGCTTGTACGACTCCCTGATGTACGACTCAGGATCGTCGTTGGCCAGAATACAAAAAAACAACATTTGTACGTGTAAACTGCGTACCTGTTGTCTGTAAAACAATTACCGGAAAATACTGTAAAAACAGGGTCCGCATACCATGCATACATACATGTTATCACTCTCTTACTTGTAATATTTGACCACCACAGTAACTTGTGATCTCTAAGCGGTCAAATTTCAGAATTTATTGACCGCTTTAATATTGACCTCTTACCCCAAGGGCTAGATATGCTGTTACACATACCAATACCCCCTCCCCCCTCCACACTCTATTCGATATGCTTTTACACATACCCCCCCCCCCCCCCAAACAGACAATCTATTACTCAATCTGCGGACAGAGCTGTTTTGTCCTTTGTGGACTCAAAAGCGCAGCACAGAGGAAATGAGGCAGAACCTGATGGCAATGAAAAATTAATTTTCCAAAGCCAGATTTAAACCAGGCCCGAACGTACCTTGCCAGAGTGCTTTTAAAAACACACACTCTATTAGATACTAGTACGCTGTTACACATACCAATACCCCCCCCCCCCCCCCCACTCCATTAGATACGCTGTTACAGATACCAATACCCCCCACCCCCACTCCATTAGATACGCTGTCACACATACCAATGTCGCCCCCCCCCCCCCCACTCCATTAGATACGCTGTCACACATACCAATACCCCCCCCCCCACTCCATTAGATACGCTGTCACACATACCAATGTCGCCCCCCCCCCCCTCACACCACTCCATTAGATTATGGTGATACACATACCATTATCCCCCCCCCCCCCCCACCAGACGCACGCACGCACACGCACACACACTTGTACTTGCTCACTGCCAAAACTGGTCACGTGGGTCTCCCCGGGAGAGGGGAGAGAGACTCAAAAGGAATCTTGGAAAGATGACTCAATTGGGCATTGAACCACCCAACGGCCGACACCCCCTGAAATCCCCAAACTAGGGTGGACTTGAAATGATCCCACTTATGGGCTCACCACACCTCAGTAAGTGGGTGAAGACAAGGTGCAGAAAAAGGATTGACGGCATCAGGGTATCCGTCCCGGGATCCAACTGCAGGTACCCCTGCCCCCAGTGAAGGTAATACTTGGTACTAGTGTGGGTGGCTAAATCAGAGTGGATCTGATATAAGCTTCACTAGCACCATTGATTACACAAGAGTTAATCTAGCCAGAAGCAGTCCATGGTTAACAGGTATGTATACTTCAAATAGAAAGTATATGAACCCTGAAACCAACAAAGGTGGTAGGTACAACAATACACCTTCAAGCAGCCGAGCCCGTTGGCAACAGGCCCAACACTATCTGGCATAACTGTACCCACCAACCAAACTAGCTGGCACCACACACACACACACACACACACACACACACACACACACACACACACACACACACACACACACACACACACACACACACACACACACACACACACACACACACACACACACACACACACACACACACACACACACACACACACACACACACACACACACACACACACACACACACACACACACACACACACACACACACACACACACACACACACACACACACACACACACACACACACACACACACACACACACACACACACACACACACACACACACACACATTATTACCCCCCCCCCCACCACACGCAAGCACGCACACACAGACACAGATACACACACACACCCATCCTGCATATGTCTTCTATGGTCCATCACCGGGCACATGTCCATGTACTGCCAATGAGTCGAGCTCCACAGTTTGGAGCACCAAATGAATCTTGTAACACCAAGGACACCGCAGCCCAGAGCACCAAGAGCAGCACGGAGTAAGTAAGTTAGTTACCATGCACGTTGGGTACACAAGATCAACCCGGCATCCCAATCCACTGTCCGGGACCATGCTATACTGAAGGGGCAACATCACAATCATTGTGTATCCGTCAGTACCCATCCTTGACTTGTCAGTACAGTTCATCCGGGCAGGTTGGGACCGAGTACTGCCCGCAACTCCCAACATACATACTTATTGCCCGCAACTCCGAACATACATACTTACTGCATGCAAGTTCACATTTTGTTTATGCCAATCAAGAGTTTTTTGGGGGCCGCTTTTCGTTAAAAAGCCAACTTTTGCGTCTCTAGATGGGTGAGAAAGGTGCCCCGGTAGACAAACGTGGCCGGATTAGGAGAGATTTACTGTTCCAATCTTTGACCGCCCGTAGACATGTAGCTCCGATCACTAATTCCATTTAGGCAACGGTCAATACTGTTAGTTGCCCCAGTAGCACTGGAACAAATAACCTGGAGGCGTCAAAAATTGGTGGATATACTGCAAGCAGACTTAGTTTATTAGCAACACCACACTCAGCTAGTAGAAGCAGCGTGTTCATTTGCAATTAGCCGTGTGGCAAGTTCGCTGTCCAACACACTGCCAGTGTTGAGGTTTTGCTGTGCAGTGTTGAGTATTGAGCCGAGTGGGCACACCTCGGAAATTTACCCCCTCAGCTCATCACACATTCCGACTGCATGCAAAGCATCTCTCCAATCTACTAAGTTGTCCAGCATCACATTGTCCAGGTACAATACTCACAGCCTGTATTGTGCTGTCACTTAGTCTCTTAGAACAACAAAAACCACAGCAGTAGTGGCGGGCAGCAGCAACTGCTGCGGCTGCTGCTTGTGCGGCAGCCGCAGTGGCAGGGCAGCGACTGCAGTACAGAGACAGCAGTGGCAGCAGCACTAGCAGCAGGCCACTGCACCAGTTGAATAGGCTTGGAGTCTGCAGCCATGCTGCTGCTGCTGGCAAAGATAGACAGCAATGTTCACGATGCCGGTGCAAATCTTGATCACAAGACTTGCACAAGCACGGCCAAGCAAGCAAATAATGCCGCCAGTTCTTCCACTGCACATACACATACATATGTCGTGTACAGTGGATGTGCAGTGGTCCAGCCCACTCAGTCAACAGCATTGCAACGTAACGTACCGAGAGATTGGTCCAATGCCAAGGTGCTGTTGGGAACTGCTGCCTCAGGCTGGAAGTCACCGGACTCTTCGGCGATGTGTTTTCGTGCAACACTGCCCGTTGCTGCTGTTTCTGATGCTGCTTGCAATTCGACTCACAGGGCCTAGGGCTGCTCCGCTTCTTCTTATCGTTGTGGTGATTTTGCTATGGCACTGCTGCTGCTTCAAGGCATGGCTACTGCTGTTGTTGTTGTTGTTATAGATGGCTAGACTGGTGCTGATATTGCTGCTGCAATCGCTGCTGACACTGGTGTGTTTCTCGGCGGTGGTGCACGGCCAGTTGTAGGGCAGTACTGGCCTCCCGCAATGCAGAGCCAGATGCAGGTAGCCTGAGAATCTCAGCAGACACACCGTCACAGTGCCATTCTCAACTGTTAGTGCCTGCGCTGCGTCCAGCACACACAGGGGCTGCTGCATCACAACCGTGTGTTGAGCTGTGCATGGATATGCAGAGTCAGTGCGTCCAGTACCCACACGGGCTGCTGCATCACGGTCGTGTGTTGAGCTGTGCATGGATATGCAGAGTTCGTACGTCCAGTTCACACCGGGATAACAGCATGAAGCATGTTCTGAGCTATGTGTGCGTATGAATAGCACCATGTGGAAGCAAGTCTGCAGCGGAAACACAACATTCAAACCACGCACAAGTAGATAGATCAGCCCAAGCAGGATAGACAGCATGAGCCATGACTGGACAATCACTCATAACTACAGCCAAACTCGCGAATACCAACCTCGGATATAACACCAGTTTCCTTGGAGATAAGAATGCAATAACACTGAGAAGAAGGACACAGTTCAGGTTCTTGAACAACATCTCCTTAGGCCCTCTGCAGACTACGTACATAGAACATCCAGTACAAAATCACATAAAACCTAAAAGGCAACATTTTTCCAAGCCTGCATTCAGACTACACATTTTACATGCAATATACAGGCAACCTTTGACCCTACGCTATTGCGCAATGGACCTGGGATGTGTGAAAGCAGCCGGCAGTCGTACCCGGGTTCAAAGTCTGTACGTTTGTACAACTACCTGGTGAGAAAGTACGATAAATGCAGGAAAGTTGCCTTGTACAAGGGTTCGCACCCTGCCTGAAACGATTAGGCAGCTTTTTAGGCTTCCCACCAGATTATTGTTGTTGTCTTGGAAACTTCTATGTAAATGTGACTTATAGGCTGTTTTGTACCTAGTCTGAAGAGGGCCTAAGCTTCACTAGTACACTTTGAAGCCTTATGGTCAGGTGAAATACAGGTTGAAGTCAAATGAACATGGACAGCAGATTAAATTCACACTTAGGTTGTCAGGTAGATCGTCAACAACTCGTTAGTTATGTCCATTAGTTGTCTGGGTTTTTCCCCACCACACTTCACGCTTGTTAGGTCTCCTCACACGTGCACCTTTCCTCCATGTCTGTCTATGTCCCTAGTGAAACGTTCGAGATGTTGTTCAAGAGCCCGGAGTGTGTCCTTCTTCTCAGTGATATACAACAACTCGTGATTTACAACGCTATCTTCAGACAAAGTAATCACTCGAGGGCATACGTTTAACCTCGCCAATAGCAACACTTCTCTAATGGCTGATCGACGGTCATTATCCGCAAGGTTGACTGTACACATAGAGTAAAACCTGTCTAAGGCGACCACTCAAAGGACGAGAAAAAGTGGTCGCCGTGGCCAGGTGGTCTTCTTATCCAGGTTCAGTGGGTCACGTGACCATATCCACGTCATAATACATTTGATACTCTATTTGATCAGTGTATCACACTGCACACACGGTGACCTATGCTACTCCAGCACGACTCATGTGCCTGGGGTCCTGAGAGCTGTCAAGTGTCGTGCATGCACCATGTACATACATGGTATAATTATGCATGCTGTCAATCTAACAATATGTATGTACATACATGTACATTACATCTACACAGTTCCTGCACTGATGTGTAGATCTACCATGCACGGTGCACCATGCAATGTGTACATTTACACGTACTAGCAGGGTGCAACACGGTCGCGGGTGGGTGGTCGTCGGTGGCGTTGAGCGGGTGGTTGCCTAATCCGAGCTGTTCGAATGTGAATGCGTCCGTGACAAGGAAAAGTGGTCGCCATATCCGGGTGGTCGCCATTCCAGGTTTTACCAAGAGTATATAACCCCCCAAGAGTGTGCAACTCTGCATATGGGGTCTCCGACGGCGAAAACTCACATCACGTGTCTCAGGCAAGTTCGTACTACGTACAAACGGAGGATAGCGTGCGCGCAATCCGATTATCTGCCATGATCATGCTGGGGATTTGCAGACGTGCGCAGTGAGTTTCTGTCAGAGAGTGCATTTTGTATTACTCCGCTGTTCGCTAAAAAACGGGCTGGAAGCGTACAACTGCGACACTGCACCACGTGATGTGAGTTTTCGCCGTCGGCGTACCCCATAGAAAGGGTATCAGGAGTTGCACACTCTTCGGGAGGGGGGGGGGGGGGGGGGTATATACTCTTGATTTTACTGTAGCTATACTTAGCTGTACATAGCTGCGCATAGCTGTACAGGGGCGTGGGAAGGTAATCTAGGGTTGTACGGTCAGCCATCTGAGATACAGTTTACTTGGGAAAGGGTGACTCCGAGGAAAATTTCGAAATTTAGAGTCCAAATCAGTGCTTTGGATTGATTTACGGAGTACCGGGGACAAAAGGTGGTACGGTCAATACCATAGTGACCGTAGCGTGTCTGACACCCCTGCTGCCATACATACCTCTGCATTGCAAAATTAAATTTTTTTTGCACTAGAACAAGTGGCAGCAACACCACTACAGCTCATTCCCCAACAATTGATATCGAGCCCTTTTTTCCCTTTTCAAATGCGATTTCGGCCGGATCAGGCTCAAGAACCAAATTCTAATTTGACCAGAAATATGATTCGGACGGTCATATCTGGACAAGTATCAATGCCAAATTCGGCCGAGACGCTCATAACCCAGCCAACAAGAACTAAATGGGTGAGGACAAGGTGCAGAAAAAGGATTGACGACAGCAGGGCACTAGTACCCGTCCCGGGATCCAACAGCAGTTACCCCTGCCCCCAGTGAAGGTAATACTTGCTACTAGTGTGGGTGGCTAAATCAGAGTGGATCTGATATAAGCTTCACTAACACCATTGATTACACAAGAGTTAATCTAGCCAGAAGCAGTCTATGGTTAACAGGTATATATACTTCAAATAGAAAGTATATGAACCCTGGAACCAGCAAAGGTGGCAGGTGCAACATTACACCTTCAAGCAGCCGAGCCCGTTGGCAACACACACACACACACACACACGCACGCACGCACGCACGCACACACCCACGCACGCTCACACACACACACACACACACACACACACACACACACACACACACACGCACGCACACACACAACCACGCATGCTCACACACACACACACACACACACACACACACACACACACACACATACACACACACATACACACAGACAAACAGACAGACACACACACACACAGAACAACTCACCAGCCAGTTGATCTCTAGTCCAGAACGGCACGGTGTAGTTCATGATCACGGCCAGCACTGGCAGCATGGCAAACACGCCGCACAGACCCTCCGAGCTGACCTTCCACGGCGGTCCGCGCAGCCAGCCACACGGCACTATCTTCTGATCCACCAGCGTGTGGCGGGCGTTGAACAGAGCCTCCATGCCCAGCGGTAGATACGAGCTGATCAGCATCCCGCCGGACACAACACCCGACACGTGCTCCCAGTACAGAGACACGCACACAGCCGGCCATATGCAAAAGTTCGCTGCCATGGTGACGGTGCCCAGCAGCATGTTGAACACGAGCATGTGCAGCAGGTAGGCGAGAACGCTGAGGGCCGTGGGAGGGTGGCGGGTGATCATCGGCTCCTCCGACCACTTGGCCGTGTCCGGGTAAACAAGTACATCTACGCAGATGCAGAATAGGACTATCGGCAGTATGGACAGAGTGGCCAGGAACGACATGCACAGCAGCGCCAGCTCGGGCGCTATGGCGTTCAGTAGCCGTGGCAACAGGTACACGCGCCACGCCAGCTCGACGAACGCCGCCTCGGCAACGGGAAAAATAAACTGCAGAACCCTGTGCAGAGAAATGCGGCCATTGACCACAGGGGTATCGCCGTCATCACGGTCATCATCTTTAAGGCTCCCGTGCTTTCCATTCGTTTTTTGTACGGGCTTATCAGCAGTAGCAGCAGTGCTGTTGCGGTTGGCAGGGTAGGTGCGAATGGGCAACGACTGTGGTTGATACTGCCGGCCCCATCGCAGTAGGATGGCTAAACAGTAGGAGCCCACTGCCATCACCAGTACGGACAACGCACCCAGCAGCGAGTACAGACATGTCAGAAACCAATCACTTGGCACAATTGCTACTCGGACGATTCCGAAAAAGTAGCCGCCCGCGCCGTGCATCAGCAAAGAGAAGAACAGCGTCCACACCGCCGGGGACATTCGGGCGAATCGCTGTACGGCGCTGGACATTGAGCCTGCCCCACACAGCCACAGCACTGGCGTTATCGGCATAACCAGCAGGCTGACTACGAGCTGGATTGTGACGATGGTCACTGCGTCTTTATCCATATCACCGCTACGAGAGGCTCCGTGGACCATCGTCACTTACTCACAACCGTGAAAGTGATAGCAAGGAAAGAGTAGTTTTAGTTGTTCCCGCTGCTCTTCTGCAAGGCGGAATCTCTAGATAAATATTACAGAATATTGTCACGAATAGATCTTACGTCTTCTCCGAAAGTTAGAATTTGTTCTAAACACGAGAGGCAAGAGTTCCCTCATTGCTCCAGGCTAGTACTAGCGATCAGCAAACGCCAATTATTTCCTACGGAAGTGAGATACTGAGTAGCCGTGCAGAAACAGCTCGGAAGGAGGCCGAAATAGCGGGATCTGCCACACACTTGACAGGAAGTGAAAATGGACGTTTTATTTTAGCTGCAAGAGGTTTCGAGTTTTTCAAGTTTTTGCACAGCGTGCATGGTGCATGCATGCAACGCAACGCACATTTATCTCTCCACACTGTACTGGTAGTGGTAGTACAGTACAATCATCTACGTGTAGTACTAGTACTACTAGTACTGGGGCCCGTGTAGTGGGGGAGTAGATCTACTGGGTAGCATGCACTGCATGTGCATGCAGCCTACCTACGCTGCACTGACAGTGACCTGGTGACACACTCACTGACTCAGCAAGTAAAGCTACAGTCTACTCTAGATTGCCAGTACAGGTCAGTACTGTACAATCAGGTACATGGATAAACCTTGTTTTGCTGAAACATGCTGTTTAACACATGCTGTCAACCAACAACAATAATATTGTACAAGTCATGTAGTAAACAGGCACTAACACGTGTCTCATGAGTCATGGAGGTGAAAATATCACGATACCTGTATCTAGCAGGACACGACCCCCTGCACTAATCACAGGTACATGGACATGTAGCTTCATACAGGACAGTCATGCAAAAGTTGTCACTGCCCATTCCGCATTATGATATTTATTCTGTATTTCACAACTTTTCGGTGTACCTTTCTTTTCGGTACTTTCGGTACATCTCTATCTCATGATTGTACATGTTTGGGTCGCATTCCACCAGTCCCTGCGCAACTGGAGTTAGTGAGCAAAAAAACACAGCAAGCTGGTATCACAACCCAACACCTACAATGGCGTCACGAGCAGAAGATAACCTTTTTTTTCTACAGCACAAACTCTACGTAATAATTAGTTCACTCGGATTTCAGTGAAAGCGGGCCGCTGGCCGCTCATACGAGTACACTGTCGTCATGTTACACTGTTTCACATCCACACACACAAACACACACATCCACACACACAAACACACACACACACACACACACACACATTCAGGCACGTGTGCACACCCCTACACACAGAGGCACAATAATTAATGCACGGCGACGGCGGTGTTGGCTATCCGACAAAGACAAACGTTCACAAACGCTGACTGTCAGTGTGCGTACAGAATAAATCCGGTAATTAATTCAAAATGCACATATTAAAACTGTACAACAAAAAATGGCTCAAAAATCAAGCTTTACTGTTTACGTTGAGCTGAGGATAGTGGGCAAAACCAATAAAAGATTACAAAAAGAGGCTAAAAGCAAGCACAGAAGCAACTATACGCATGACAACAGTGCTGGGAAATTAACCTGCTCTTCATCAGTACCCGTTTGCCAGAAGATCCAAGATAAGTGAGGCTACGTTTCCCAATGCCCGCAGGTCACACGGCAGAAAGTCCAATCAAATCAGTAAGATGACAATCAGGCCAAAGCTGTTCTCTGCAGGCATTATTCGCACGCATAATATAATGTAACAAAAGAGAAAGACCAAGGAACTACAAGTTACGCTATACTGTCCACTAACACCACCAGTTACTAAACAATCAGCTCACGCGATAACATTGCACGACACTGACCGACGGTACTGACGTTTTACAAGGTGGTGTTAGTGGACAGTATAGCGTTACTTGTAGCTCCTTGGTCTTTCTCTTTTGTAAAAATTAAACCTCGGCTCTCCATCTGAGTCCATAATATGATGTACCAAATATTCTTCTCTATAATTGTAGCAATTCCTGAAGTTCAAATTTGACATAATAGTTATGTCAAATTATGCTAGACTGAATTGCAAACACCAGTTGGTAATATGAGAGCACTGGTATTGGATATACCTATGGAACATGTGACTGTCTTACTGGTAGTCTCACCAGCAGCCAACCAGGACATGGCTACCTTCTCACCACTCACCCCGCTCAGGGTCAGCGTAGCCGTAGTCGCGTTGGCAGTGATCCGTGTGACACGTTGCGGTGACATGGGCACGACCTTGTTCAGCTCTCCCAGAAGAGTCCAGCCGCCGGGCATGCGTGGTGCCACGTACGTCAGACTAAAGTCACCATACGTACTGCCTGCAGTGGGTACAGGCATACAAATACAGACATACATGTACAGACATGGAGCACAACACCACATAACAAGTGAAAACACGCACAGAATTATACACATGAAAGTGCAGACACACGTAAAAGTGCACGTCAGAAAACACAGACATGCACACACACACACACACGCACACAGACAGACACAGACAGACAGACAGACACACACACACACACGCTTATCCACACAGATAAGCTAAATAAGGCTCAGCATGCACCGGTGGTACCCAGCACTCAATACGCATGCGAAGTACAGAGCTCCAAAGTACAGTACTACATCATTGACAGTGGTGACTTGCTGCACAGAGGAATCTCAGAACTTCAACCACCGTCTGGACTGAGCAAAGTGATCCCATGCCCAAGGTGGTCTGATGTACATTGTATGTAACTCATGGAAAGGATTTTTATGGGACTGGGAGAAAGTGGCCACAGGCAGCCGGACAGGCAACTGTCTCACTTTCAGGCAGGCTAGGCCTGTGATAAGTAGCATTATCAAACTTCTTATTGTGCCACATGTCTGGTTCAAGTCCCGGTGAATGTTTTATTCAGACTACCGTAGAATCCTGCGGATAAGGCCATGGGCTTATCTGTTTCACAAGAGCATTTCGGTGGGCTTATACAAGAATATGTGCTTATACGCGGGCATGGGCTTATACGCTGACACCAATATTGTACTATTGAAAAGTACCAAGGAAGTGAGAAATACATTGCTGAAAGCCACTGTGTGGGTGCAAAAAACGATCATTGTGTTGAAATGTACAAGGAAAAAAACCCCTACATGTACTACGTGCATGGTACGACCAAACTCTTGGTATGACCTAGGCCTATGGGCTTGTACGGCGAAGCTTCGGGATGTTCGGACTTAGCCTGGGCTTGTGCGCGAGCATGGGCCTATACGCGGGTGGGCTTATTCGCTGGATTCTACGGTATTCCCTTTTTCACTCCCTCATACTTATGAAAATTATTATTTAGAAAAGGGGGTATGAACTGGAACGTTGCAACTTCTGCGGTATGAGTGAAGAATATGTGGCTAGTGGCATTTGAGCTCGCACTTAACACCATCAGAGCGCCACTGAACAGACTCACAACTACCGCGTGGAAGGTGCAAAACGCACATCAAACGTGACACTCGGCAAACCTGTAGGAAAGCACCACTCCCCACTCAATGGCCTCCAGCGTCAGTTCTCACAACTCCCTGATTGACAGTGACTCATGCCACTCCTGCCTGGTGATCATGAGGTGTTGGCGGCACTGCAAACGGAGCGTCAACGAAATCGGCACCCATACACAACTGTCGGGCGCTGAAGAATGATGCACTGAGGTATGAGCAGGCCAACATGTGAAAAAGTGCACGACACACAAATGTACATGGTGGCTCGACTGCATAAACAGTTTCTACATAAAAAAATACGAACGGCCTAGGCTGACGTCCCCGAATGCCCAGGTCTTTGGCACCAGGCAGTGCTGTAGTGACTTCAGTGACTTTAGGGATGCTGCTGCTGCTGGAGAGCCATAGATTTTCGCTCTCCTGAAGCAGAAATAGTACAGTGCCCTTGCTTAGAGACTCTTGACACTGTAAGTCGGCAAATTTTCGGCCCCTTCAAATTTCGGCCTCCCAGGGCTAAAACACATTTCGGCTGCAACACATTTTCGGCCTGGACTTGTGTTGCCTGTATACACTGTCACACTGAACCTCGCAAAACAAATTTTCGGCAGCAACAAATTTTCGGCCAAAAATGATCAGGCCGAAAACAGCCGAAATTAATATGCGCCGAATTTTTGTTGACATACAGTAACAAGCGACAGTCTGATGGTGCTTACCAGTGGCGTTGATCTCTATTGCTGGACTGGCTGCGGTGTGTATGACTAGTGCACTAGTCTGTCCTGTAGTGGTCATGTTGGTACTGTATCCCACACACTCACTGCCGCTACCCAGACCTGCTGTGGACACGGCTTGCTGGTTCATCAGGTCGGATGCGAATATGTACAGCCAGGTCAGCTGGGTCGGCATAGCAACGCTATCGCGATCGGTACTAAAAATGCTTGAGGTGATGTTAAACGTAGAGGAGGTCGTCCATAGCTCTCCGTCAGGTGCTGACTTGTCTGTAAGAACGGAATACACAGGACCAGCAAGAGTAACACGTCGTTCCTGTTAGTACCGATACAGTAAAACCTGTACCTAAAGACCACCATGACTAGCGACCAGCCTGGCTGGTACTACAGACTACTTTGTCAGGCACGGACGGTCTCACGTTCATATAATGGTTGTGACGTGCAAACCTGTAACTAAGGACCACCTGACACTAAAGACCGCTTTCTCTGGCCCCAAGGGGTGGTCGTTAGTTACATGTTTTACTGTAGGATTGATGCAGAACCACTGGCAGTAAAGAGTACAGTCATTCTCAATGAAACATGGCCAGAAAGAGTATGGTCTCCCTCAATGAAATCCAGCACCAGGGGGGGGGTTCCAGTATAGTCAAAGCTGAATAGCTGATACATGTACATGGACACGCATATTGCTGTCAGTAGTACATTTTTGAAATTAAGGGGGTTCCGCGGAACCCCTGGAACCCCTCCGGGATCCGCCCCTGTATGGTCTCCCTCAATGAAATCCAGCATCATGACTATGTCAGCCCTACACACCACTAGGGCACTACCCAGTGCTCACAGGTCTGTGACCAAGAACATAGTGAAGGGTACGGTGTTATCAACCGACTCACTGTCACACAGGGACGGCAGAGCCTGTACCGTTGGTCAGGCCATGGCCCGATCAACTGTTTGGCCACCATCGAATGTTAACTGCAGAGGGGCCGGTCATGTGCACCGTCGTATCATTCACAAAGTATGAAAGGCACAGCCGGACCACTCAAGAACCGCTTGCACTGACTCACTGTCACACAGGGCTGAATTTTATCCACCAGCACTTTGAAAGTGAATAGTAAGGATAGGTCTGTGTTGGTTCTAGTAACTTTTTGGTTCTAGTAACCATCATAGTCCTGGCATGGATTCTGATGGTTCGGGTCCATGCAGGTGTATATGTGTGTGTTTGCATCTGCGTTCAGGGGGGGGGGGGGGGGGGGGGGGGGTGCGTCCGTACATGTGTGTGCGTCCGTACATGTGTGTGTGTGTGTGTGTGTGTGTGTGTGTGTGTGTGTGTGTGTGTGTGTGTGTGTGTGTGTGTGTGTGTGTGTGTGTGCGGTGGCTGCGGCGGCCGCGGTGGTGACGGTACTTTAGAGCGTTACGTATATGTAATAAGTTGGTGTTCAAATTCGAGACGTCCTTCATGAGTCACACAAGGGTTGGTTTCAGGAAAGGAGGCAGTGAAAGCTTAGGACACAGTGCGTGCATGAACACACCCACCTCCAAACACACGATTCTTCCAGGTAGCATCAACCGGCATGGCGGGAAGATCCGGCTTCAGAAGCAGTCCATCTTCACGACACAGGGACATCAACAGATCAATGTCTGAACCGTTCACCGCGTCCGCAGGTGCAACCGGGCCTGCACAGAACAAAGACCAGCAAGTTAGCTCACCGTCACTTCTAAGTTCTACACACACGCGCGTATGGCATGTACAGTCACGGCCAAAGAAATCCGACCCACACGCGGAAAGCACCACCAAGGCTCATGTGGACCCTACGGCCTTTGGATGGGGGGGGGGGGGGTTCAACTTTTTTCAGACCGTGCATGATTTTATCGATATACTTTTGACTCGCGGGTCGGATTTCTTAGGCCACGACTGTACAATGTAGTTGTAATGTAGGCTATGAGCTACCACCCCCCCCCCCCCCCCCCCCCCCTTCACCACCTCATACTAAATGTGTGCCGCAACAAAAATTGAGAAATATTCTACAGACTGCCATGCAATTCGTCAGGTCAGCACAATGCTGCTATGAGAGCCAATAACCAAGACCTAACGACTGGTAACAAAGTGTGATTTCGGAGATAATCTGGACGATGAAGAAATCACTGCATTCACTGTATTCGGCACAAGGTGAGGACAAAGCTCGACAGCATAATGTAGCGCACGGACAGAATGAGCAATGGCCTTTGCGTCGTTCGGGTAACTTAGCACCGAGGCAACAGAGCTCCATGAAGTTTATTTCAACAGCTAATATACTGGCACTACTTGTTCTGAACGGGAGTCTGACGGCAACGTGAGTCGATAATGGAGGCTGTCAGACCTCCAATATGGACTCGGTACTGTAATTTCACAAATTTTCGGAGTACTTTTATTTTCGATAATTTCGGTGCGTCTGTTTCATACCTAAATTTTCAATACACCGAACAAACACTAACACACATAATCCAATAGGGAACTGTTTCTCTGCACCTAGAATGTCTGTTCACCTAACCCGGCCTTTTGCCCTCATACCGCAAATATTGAGCACCAAAAATTACTGAAATTAGAGTACTCACCTGCACTGAGTATAGACACTACAGCATGCAAGTGAGAACCCAGCTCATGGAAGCCTTTGAACTTCTCTCCAGAGTGTGCTGTCTCCTCAGCACTAGATAGAAATGTGTCCTTGTATGGCAGCATGCCGACAGAGTACACCAGGATGCTCTGGGCTCCGATCTTCCAGTTCCGCTCGTTCAAGCGAGGCAGATAGTCCGAGCCAAGGCGTTGATGCGTCGCTGCGGGTACACGCACACTGTTAAGAGTGATGTAGGGGAATGACATGCAGTAGCTGATGGCCACATTGCTGCGGCTAGCGGCGCCCGACTGGCCCATCAGCCAGGCGTCGGGTACTGTCAGGTCGCTGTAGAACGGAGTCATTTGCACCTGCTCGCTGATATGATCTTGCTTGATGCACTGCATGCCCCACTGGTTACCGCTGGGAAAGAGATAGTCCCACACATCCGGGCCGTACGGCATCCAGTCACCCTTGGTATCGTTGACGAATGTATAGTTCTTCGGATACGGTGTCTGCTTGCTCCACATGCCGTGGTGACATTTGAACGGTAGGGCCAGTTTCTCTGACAGCCACTGAAGACCGTGTGGAAATCGCTCGCTGAGCAGCTCCGGGATGTCCTCCCACCACTTCACTCCACCGTAGGTTGTTTCCCCGTACCACCAGGAATCCAGTAGGTAGTATCCGTACGGTATGTTGGCACTCCGTCGATACTCATCCACCTGCACCATGGTGTCCTCGTAGTTCTTGCAGTGTGGCAGCGTGCTGCCGTCACACGGGTTGTAGAAGTACATCCCCGTGGTGCTGTAACCAAGGCGACTGGTGAAGACGTCGGCCTGTGTGCTCGTGCGCTGCTTACCGCCGTTCCAGAGCAGCAGCGTGTCTCCCCAGCGCATGAACGTGTCACGCACGCCATAGCCGGCGTACAGCACGGACCGTACAGTGTAGTTCTTCCACACGGACGCGTACATGCCGCCAACGCCCATGTTCAGAGCGTCGGCCTTGCCGTTCATCACGTGCGTCAGGAAGCCGTCGAGTGGAGACAGAATCACTGTACGCAGACTGGCGTCCATCAGGGCTATCTGGCTGGTCTCGGATCCGCCAAAGTGTGGGTCGTACTGTCCACACAGAATACCAGCTGACATGCCACCGTGGAATGACAGGTAGCCCAGCTTGCCGAACAGTCCATCACCATCCTTGGTCATGAACGACGGATACGCGGACGATGGTGCATCGCGGTCGTCTATCGACGTCCCCTCGCCTCCTTCCGGGTATGTTTGCTCAAAGATGATCAGGTCCGATGCCAGTCCTTTCTCGGTCGGGTAGAGCTTGTTGGTTGTGATGAACGGTACGTCTCCAGCCATCCAGTGAGATGATGAGCTCTGCCATTGGCCCAGGGTATCATGCCCAGACGAGCCTGCAAGAAAGAGCATCAGCCAGTAGCACCAGCAGCACCCATAGCAGCAGCAGCAGCAGCGTAGGTAGACAGATATGGACACTATTCAAATGGCTGGACAACCCAGGCTGTACACTGTTCTTCTATGGCGTGTAATAACGAGAGCCACATCATATTATTATGTTCTACTCTCTCCTTGGATTTCATCCGGAAATTGCTCAAGATTCACAACAATTTTTAACTCACCCGTCGATTCTACCAGCTTCAACTTCTCCTCTCCTTCATCAGGATCACTGGAATACCACTTGTTGTTCAGGTGAACACGCGTGGGTGCATTGCGTAGCCATAATACCTAAGAAACACCCGCAGAATAGCACAAAATCTTTTGCATGAGACCGCAACATGATTGTTATCTCTCCCCTAGCGTGCCCCCCATGCAGCGCTCTAATGCATCATCCGCTATTATCAGCCGTCCGCTGAACACTGAACGTGCAATGAGCACGAACACGGATGGGATGATCCGCTAGATAGGGAATAGGAAACCTCAGATCTTGGCATGAAATGTGCACATGGGGAGAGTACATTAGCCGGTAAGCACCAGCAATTTTAGCGTGTGATTCTTGAAGCAATGAAATATGTGCTGATTGGGCCTAATGTTTCCTAGCATTTTCCTGGGAGAGGTCCCCTGGACTAGGCATATGCGGAAAATGCCGGCAGAAAAATTGGCAGAATTCGGTACTCTTTCTGGTGAGTTTCATGCATGTTTGGTATGTGGATAAAGAAATGGAGCAGAATTCGAGGAATTGCCCGCCATAAGGTTTGTATGGTTCTGCCAATTTCACTGCTTTTCGAGGAGAATCTGCCACCTTTTCGAGCAGAATCCGCCAATACCTACCCTGGACCCCCTGCCTTTTCAAGTTCTCACAGCCGCACCAATGTAGTGCACCTTCCTAGTAGTTCCTACGCCCCTGGTAAGGTCTTGATGGTGGCATGCAGGGCAGGTAGCAAGACGGCGGCATACTTGCTCGTTCAGTTTTAGGTCCAATATGGACGCAAGGACAGGATTGATGATTATGACTGTCCCTGTGGTGTAGCAGACCGCGGAGCTGTTGCACGTCTATCACATGACCAGGCAGCCATGCTGGTTTCGACTCCCCGCAACCACTGCATCTATGGGTCACATGACGTTGGCAATGTTGGTTTACATGCCCTGTACACCGCAATGTATTGGTTTACATGCCCTGCACACCGTATCTACAGAAATTCAGTCGCATGGCAATGATGTGCAACCATTCTAGATGCAAGCCATCACACACAAATTACTGGATGGTATACATGTAAGCAAGGGAGATTTCACTTGGTCACGTGCTGTTCTTCGTGCCATTTTGCGGGCTACTGCTTTTACACCTGCAGCAGCTTTATCGTCTGCTGCAGTGAGCTGCTTCATGCATTCTCTTTACTAATCTACCATCCAGCAGAAGTAGTAGTCACTGGTACATTTCTGATTTCTCCGATAATTGCCTTCTTGTCTTGCACTAGATCTGCTCAGATATAAAACTTAAATTTGAGAGGTTTTAGTTGAAGAATGCATAGAACAGGTTTCTTGTTTTTTTTACATGATACGCGTGACTACCCATAGGAGCACTGCTGGACTGCAGTCAGGGTTCATCTGTAACAATTCAGTACAAATCTACAGCATTAGAAAAAGAGGACCATAAGTTTACAAGTTATCCGTTTTGTCCAACACCAACGATTATAACTCGGATGGAGAGCCAAAGATTAAATTTAAAAAAGAAAGGACCAAAGTGTGACATGTTATCCATAGTTTGTGTCCAACGCTAACAGTTATAAGCAAAATGCTGAAGGATGTTGGCTGTTGGTTTGCGCATCCAAGACGTGATAGAGCTTATCATCAGGTTGTTGAATGTCAATATAACATCAGTCCGTATTGTGCTAGCTATCGCACCTTCTCATTACACAACATCTTACCACATTTTGCTTATAACTGTTAGTGTTGGACACAATCTACGGATAACTTTTGGTCTTTTCTTTTTAAAACTAACGATTATAGGCAGGAAATGGCGAGTCAAAATTTGCAACAATTAGCACAAAACTGACTGATGTGATACTGACATTCTATGACCTGATGTTTAGCTGCATTTTTGTGCTAATTCTTGCACATTTTGACTCACCATTATCCTGCTTATAATCGTTAGTATTGGGCAGAACGGATAACTTGTCAACTTATGGTCCTCTGAGTCTAACCCTTCGCTCTCCATCCGAGTCTAGATCTACAAAATTTTAATGCACGATTTTTGCTGACTTCGACCAAAGAATCTCCTCGAAAAGCTAGTCTCCAATGAACTGTACGCACAATCAGCAATGTACTGCATAGTGAATATTTTGGTATTGCTGACTTACACCATCGATGCTGATATTGTACGTTCCATCGGTACTATCGCTCAACAGTAGCTCAATATCGGCACAGCACGCCTGGTGTACGTGCACACCGATCAGCAGAAGCACGAAGATTGCGCAAGCGGAGACTGGCCCGCTAGTACCAACATGGAAGTGCATCCTACCTATCACTCCAGAGAATTAAAATTATTATTGTTCCCTGAAATATTCAATCTGGATCAGCTCGTCGTGGCGGCGGCCCCACATCGTTAGTCAAGTTCCTTCTCTCCTCTTCTAAATAATTCATCCAAGTAGTTGTGTACATGGCTTTAGCAGGCATGTGTCTCAAACTTGACATTTCTTGTTCAGACTCAGACAGAATAGCGCGCAAGTCACTGAAAATGTGAAATAAATTTTAATAGTGTCGGCAGTTGAGCAGGCCTGCAGGATAAACAGTACTGGCACATAACAGACTCAGTGGCAGTGTTGACCATGTTGACTGTTGTCGTGTTGGCACTGGTTGCGTGAAAAACACTAACATAGATCTACGTGCACGTCCGCGCACGGCCCGGTTCACATGGTTCATGACCATGACTGAGCCGGATTTCTAGGCTAGGACTAGTAGTACTAGTACTACAGTAGAGTCGCGCGCCCAAGAACGTTGTTTCCAAGGGGTTAGCCTGGGACGTTCTTATTTTTTCTGCAATCTGGCTGCGTTCTTAGGCCGAGTAAAAAAAATTACTAGATGATCGTCCTTTTTTTTGGAAAAATCGGGGAGGGCGGGAGGATTTTATTTTTATTTTTTTACTTTTTACCCTCTCATGCACACAGTGTACACAACAACATCAAGGTTTTTTTTCTCTTTTTTTCTTTTTTTTTCTTTTTCTTTCTTCAGCAGATCGATACTGACGTTGTGATATACTAGTAGTATGTGGTCCATATAGTAAAACTCACGATTTAAAAAATAAAATATTTCTTGGGGCGCTGACAAAAACTGGGGCGGACGGGGACGATCATCTAGCTTTTTTTTTTACTTGGCCTTATAGCACGTTCTTAGAAACAATCCGTACTGGATCATATGTATTCCACAAGCTGCCAGAAAACCAACACCGGCGTTCTTAGCTTTAGGCTGTGGTGTTCTTAGAATTTCAGGCTGGACGTTCTTGGGCTCCGCGTTCTTCAGCGCGCGACTCTACTGACAGTAGTACTGTAGTAGGACTACAATCGTGCATGTCAGCTGCCTAAAATAATACGTAGATCTACTACTGTAGTACTACTAGTACTACCACAACTGCACAAGGTCAGAATCAGATCGGACCGAGTTGGTTGGCTGAGCCCGAGGTCCCGGGACTCCCGACCCCAGTCACACTCATCGTAACGCCTCTATTAATATTATCGTGCTCAGCATGATTGTGCATGTTCGACATACTACTTACTAGTAGTACCCCGATGATACCCGTAGTGGTACCGATCTCGCCGACTGCATGACATTAATTTTGTATTGACTATTGTAGATCTACATGACTGTATTTGGTCACGTGTTGGGAAAATGCATGCTGATCAACCATGTCACTTGTCAAACTCAAAGACTGTATAATACATAATACGCACGTCATTATTGAATTCATGTACACACTGTAACCTCAAACCCAGTGATCCCAAAAAAATTGGCGATGGACCTGTGGTAAATATCCATTTTAAATCGGTGCAGGCCTGGCCTAGCCCCTACACAGGGCCTCATGCATAGCTACTTCAAACGGCATGCGGGATACTGATCATGCATAAATCTCTGAAAAGTCATGCATACATGGATCAATCATGCATGACAGGGAGTGGACACCCCCCCCCCCCCACACACAGTGTACCTCTCTCTCTCTCTCTCTCTCTCTCTCTCTCTCTCTCTCTCTCTCTCTCTCTCTCTCTCTCTCTCTCTCTCTCTCTCTCTCTCTCTCTCTCTCTCTCTCTCTCTCTCTCTCTCTCTCTCTCTCTCTCTCTCTCTCTCTCTCTCTCTCTCTCTCTCTCTCTCTCTCTCTCTCTCTCTCTCTCTCTCTCTCTCTCTCTCTCTCTCTCTCTCTCTCTCTCTCTCTCTCTCTCTCTCTCTCTCTCTCTCTGTCGCACATGCACTCATACACAAGCAACCAGAGGCACCAAGCAAGACAAAATGCATGAACATAACTCATGAGGATCAGAAATATTCATTATCCTCATCCATCACACAAAAACAGGCAGTGATATCCCACAGGATTCTCAGAATAACCCAGACCAGCAGTACAAGGTAGAAGATGGCTACCGCCGGCTGGAACCGGGAATCCTGCGGGATCCCATCACCTGGAGCTAACCTACACTGCAACAAGGCATCCATTCGATATCACCAGACAAGAAGCAAAGCAACATCAACATCATTGTGTTAAAACTTCAAACCCTTCCTTTCCCACCCAGGGTGACAGGTGTTCTGTTCAAGCCCAAAACCCAACCAACAAAAATATAAAGTCCCTGGACAGGGGAGGCTGATGATGACAGGCTTGGTTGACCCCTCGACTTGGCGACGCAGGCACGTGGACACACACACCATAGTGTGGTCAGTGCCTTTGACATCTTCAGTGCCGGGCGATAACTGCCTGAGATTGAAAAGGAAAGCATGCGAAGCGGAAAACAGGAGCAAGAACGAGAAGCAGTGCAAGGCATGTATTTTCTTTGAAGGGCCAAACTCACCCACCGATCTGACTAGAATGTACACCACGCATGAATGACTGAGTGTTGACGGTGCTTTACCGTGCTGCTGAAAATGTTTTATGGCCTCCTGCTGCTATGCTGGCTGACCAATGGGAACTACCAAGACTGCAACTAGTTCAAGGGGATATTGTTTGCCGATGGGCCGTAAAGTTCACCTTCTGATGCCCGAGTACAGATTCACTAGGACATTGCCGAATCATCTACAGTGAAACCTGTCTAGGCGACCACTCGGATAAGGTGACCACCTGTCCCAGAAGACCACCGCAACCAGGAAACAAGGATGCTATTTCCAGTCAAATGACCCTGGATAAGGAGACCACCTGGTAACAGAGACAGTTTTTCGAAGGTCCCTTGCGCGGTTGTCTTATACAGGTTTTACTGTATGTGCAACAACAGGGATGCCGGACACGCTATGGTCACTACGGTGTTGACTGTACTGCTCTTCATCCCGGGTACACCCTGCGAATGAATAAAAGCGCCGTTTTGGGGTTCAAATTTCGAAAATGTTCAGAGGAGCCACCCAAATCTGGTGAGTTATTTGTACTGCAGTTGGCTGCCCGTACCACCCTGAAATACCTTTCGACACCCTTGGACAAGGTTTCCTAAATTGAAATGACGAAAATACGCGGACACGTTGCTCCTATGCCTACACGCGCCTAGGATATGACAGTGAGATGGCTTGGCTTACCTTGCATGGTCCCGCATGTTGTCATCGCATCCCGGCGTCCCGTCCACGGCGCTTGACCTGAGCAGGGGTGAAGAATCACACAGCAGAAAAAAACAGTAGGGATGAATCTGCACTACAATAATATGAAGCTTAGCTACCCACCCACACAATGCACCCCAATCCCATTGGCTCCAGCATGCAATAAAGAAAACACCTGGAGGGTGAAGCTTACATGTACATGGTGGTGGTGGTGGGGGGGGGGGGGGGGGGACTGGACCGGGTTGGACAAACAAAGCATGCACTGTTGCTTTCAGCACCACCCCTGACTGGAATGGGACTTCGCAGGGTAAGGATTAAGCTACCAAAGTAGAAATGCAACCCCTCTGCCAAAACCATATCTGGACCGGGTTGGACAAACAAAGCATGCGCTGTGCTGTTTTGTGTTCAGTACCACCCCAGGCCGGAGTGGGACTTCACGGGGCAAGGACAAGACTACAATACCCCAGTGCTAAACCCTAGACAATGCAGACCAGTGCAAAGGCGACCAAAAATACAATTCCGCATTGGAAACCTCTGAATGGAGGCTTGGCAAATTGTGACAAAAAAAAGAGCAATGTAGGCATTCGTTTCAGTGACCGGTGATTTCGTTGTATCGGGAATGGTGGTCATTGCCAGTGCCATAGAGCAAACTAAACATGGCGTGGAGAAGAGGATTTCCTTTGCACTGGTCTGCATGAGCAAGAGATTGTAACCTGGAGTGTGCACAAAACATGCTAGTCTAAGGCAAAAACAGCAAAACTACTAAGTCTGGAATTGGAACGGAATGCAACCCGACAATAACGTTAGTTGGTCTTTCAAAACAAGTTTGAAATCTGCAGGAAGATTGCTTCACTGTGTCAGGAAACTGCTGCATGTCAATGCAAGGAAAAGTGGGTTTCATTTTACCAGCTAGAACCGCACAGCAATGTACACTCCAGTTTACAGTCAAGCTCTTGCTATGGGATGCAAACACCATAAATGACAACAGGGTACTTAGACTGTTTGGTTCCAGTGACGTGATAATGACCGTGGCTAGCTCCGTCTTGAATGGATGGCATGGCGACCTGGGCTGGATGGAAGCATAGCAAAAAGAATGGTCAGATAACACAGCAAACAGCAGTGTCTGTGTACGTGTGTGTGCGTGCGTGCATGCGCGCGAGCGTACATGTGAGCGGATGCCATACATAGAAGCATGCACAGCGTGATTGAGGAGTTTCGATGCAGAACTGCACATCTGTCACAGTCCTCTTTCTTTTCTATAAATTCATCTTTGGCTCTCCATCCGAGTCCATTCTATCAATAGTCCTTTGCCTTTGCAAAAAGGCTATTCCATGCCAAGTTTAAACGGTATAGGAGTTGAAACAAAACCAGTCTGTGATGCAAATTGCATTGACAGGGACTAACGCACGTATAGAGCTAAGCAGATGTGCACGTATGCATGAAAATTCCTCAATCAGCAGCTTTCCCTCCCCTGGTCCTTATTTTAGTTGGGCCCTATTTTCAATGTTGACTGTTGGAGAAAAAAAAGTTACTCATCCGGTGGTGGGGAGGGGAAGCCTACTATTTATGAAGCCCTCTTCACATCAGGCGATTTCAGGCGGTGGATTTAGTGCACGTGCCAGAGATATAATTAATGGTTTGCAGGAAAGATTGCAGCATTCGTTAGTATTCGGGCCAGTATTGCCAACATGTTTGAGAGAGAGAAAATGATTTTGCCTGAAATGCAAGATGTAAACAGGGCTTCCGGGAGATTCACAGATACATTGTTTGCGATGCGATGCGGGATGCGACGTGATCTGCGGTGCAGAAGTGTTATGTAGACTTGCGAATACCATTCATAGAAAAAAATCAGTGATGGGACCTCACTGTCACTGTACTAATATCCAAGGTGTGCTGCAAAGCGGGGGGGGGGGGGGGGGGGGGGGCAAGATACCATATCATTCACAT